AAAATAAACGATTTCCAAAATTGCTAATTTATAAAGAATAAAACTGTTTTATTTTCTTGTATGAGAATAAAAGCTTTTCCTAGCAATTAAGTCTAAAGTTGTTAAACTTTTCTACAGTAATTGATGGTAAATATATTATACTTCAAAAATTCAATAATAATCAAATATATTTTATAACTATTGTTGAAAATTATATTTTTGATGACCTCATTTATAAGGAAAGTAGTTTACTTAAAAATAAAATGTTTTATATCAAATGTAAAAGCAAATGAATCATTAAGATCCAACTAGTGATTTTAAGAGTTGGATTATATTTAGAAAATCTAATGTTTTACTCTTATTACCAGTGTTGTAAACAAAATGTCAAAAGAAATAAACAATTATATTATTCCATGATAGCATACTGATTTACTGATAAATAGCAAAAGAGGTACCATGTTTCGACGCTGACACACTTGTTCACTTTCTTCTTTATTCCCTGCTCTTCAATGGCTTCCGATTATGAGTTGAAGGCCAAAGAGGCTTTCGAAGATGATAACTCCGACTTATATGCTGACCGTGCCCAGGTCAAAATCAAACTCAACAACCTCACTGGTACGCACTCTTTTACTCTCACAGAATCAAAGATGCAAATTCTGTTGTCATGCCATTTATGTGGACTAATGCTTTGCCGACTAATTTTTCTTCTCTTTTTCTCCCAGAGGCTGTTGCTGATGCAAACAAGGCGATTGAGTTGAATCCTTCTCACTCAAAAGCATAGTTGCGCAAAGGGTCAGTATGACGCCACCTGATGCTTTTTCCCTTCAACTTTTTGGTTCTTATCACGATACATTTTGAGTTTTTCAATGCATAATTTTCTGCAATGTTTTTCCTTGTTGCTATCAATGTTGTCAACTCCATTACTTTCTTCCATAGTAGAATTGTAAAATAAGTCAAAAAGTTGGTTGAATACTGAGGTGGCAGATATCTTTTGCCAATAATAAACAGATTTATGTTAATACTGACATTATTTTACGTGAAGGTTGAATACTAACAAGGATATTTGTGTCTAAGTGCATTTGATCCATGATATCTCATAACATTTTGTATTCTGTTTTACATTCCTTATGTCCTTGATTAATCGGATTGTAGTTACTATTTACTAAGCTTCGTGATGCAACTTTATTTGGTATTTTGTTGTAGTACTGCATGCATCAATCTTCAGGAATATCAAACTGCTAAGGCAGCTCTGGAGATGGGTGCTTCATTGGCTTAAGGAGACTCTAAATTTACTGATTTGATTAAGGAGTGCGATAAGCTGATTTCAGGTAAACATTTCATGTGGTGAAAATTTTTCATTTTTGGTGTTAGCTGGCCACACCTGAAAGGTAGAAAAAGATTTTTATGGTTTGTTGATGTTTACATTTTTTTGTGTTTTAGACATTATATGAAACCTCATGATTATGTCTTGACCTTTGAGAGGGAGAATGTGGACATGTCATATTCAACTATGAACTGACCTGTGTGATTGAAATATTATGTTCAACAGAAGAATCTGGTGTCATCATGCCCATTCAAGAAAAGACCACAACACAGTGTGATGCTACAAAAGCTTTTCAGCCAGAGAATGATCTTTCAGAGCCACCAACAGTGACAGTGGCTAAACCTAAATACAGGTTAGTTCAGCCTTCTGTTTTTATGCTTATTGCTAGGGTTATTTCTTTACATATTAAAAGTGCCACCTAATTTCTGTTGCTCATGTCTGTTATACTGCAATAAATTATAATTGGTTAGCCCTTTCCTGTGTTGGTTTTAATACAAGACATGCTTTTTGGCAATTCAATTGAAGGGAAAGGCATGGCTCATGCATGGTTAATTTTCTATATAATATTGATGCAGGCATGGATTCTACCAGAAACCTGATGAGGTGGTTATTACCATATTTGCAAAGGGAATTCCAAGAGACAGCATTACTGTTTAGTTTGGTGAACAAATAGTATGGTTCACATATTATCATAATATTTAGTCAATTCTTCCTATGGCCCATCAATTACTGCCCCTTACATCATGGTGAATAATATTCTAAGATTGATGCTTTCTTTCTTTTTCCTTTTTGGTGTTGTAGGTAAGTGTTAGCATTAATAACCCTGGCGAAGATGCATATGTCCTTCAACCTCGCTTATTTGGAAAGGTATGGACTGGAGCTTCGTTCTTTATCTTACTATAGTTTTAGTTCTGATTATAATGTTGAAATTAAAGACCATTGGTTTTCCTCTATCAGATCATACCCACCAAATGACGGTATGAAGTTTCGTCCATCAAAATTGAAATTTGCCTCGCAAAAACAGAACCTATTCAATGGACATCTCTAGAATTCAACAAGGGTAGCACAGTTCCACAGAAGGTGAATGTTTCACCAGGTAACTTGAGTTTTCTGCTCTTGTCCCCCCTCCTTATGTTTTGGTGACTGCAGAAAAATTGGTGTTTTTTTCATTTACATGTTGTAATAGAAATTTTAAGGTAAAATTTCTAATATTGATAAATGTTGATTCTATGTTGATGTATGCTTTTCCTACTCGCCTTTGGCCATCTGATTTTTTTATTTGTTGAATGCTGTGATAAATTTAATTACTTTGCGAATATAAACCACTTCATAACTACTTGCCTTTGGCCTTTGGTTGGATGCTCCTCAAGACATTCTAATTCTGTTTATGTTCTGTGATTCTGCTCTGGCTATTAGCGAAACATTTTATGGCAAGGCAGTGTTCTGCATGCTGATATGAGTACAGGGTCAATATTCGGTTGGTGATTTGAAAATGAGTTATGTTTTCATGTAACATGCATTATTCCATACCATGAATTTGACAGTTGCTGGAGGTGAAAGACCTACTTATCCATCCTCAAAACCAAAAGAAACAGATTGGTATAAGCTGGAAGCTCAAGTTAAGAAAGAGGTTTGTCTGCTTCCTACATAAAATGTTTTAGTTCTTTGTTGGTCGGTACACCTTCCTCTCACACTTTAATTTCAGGAGAAAGAAGAAAAACTTGATGGCGACACAGCGGTGAACAAACTTTTCCGTACGATATATCAAAATGCAGATGAGGACACAAGAAAAGCAATGAACAAATCACTTGTGATTATTTCTACAATGCTATGATGTGTGTGTCTTGCAGGTGGAGTCAAATGGAACAGTACTGTCTACAAACTGGAAAGATGTGGGATCAAAGAGGGTAGAGGGAAGTCCCCCTGATGGCATGGAGTTAAAGAAATGGTAATATTGAGATTTTTTATGGGGTATAGGATTATGCTTTGGAATGTTATAAGCGATTTAAATGACTGATGCTGTGGAAAAGGAGATTTAATTGTTTCTAATGTATTATTTTGTAGTGTATGTCTTTTGTGTTTTGTGAATGTAATGCAGCTAGTTCTTGAATCTTCCGTTATATTTTGTGTTGAGCATAATGGATCTGAAATGTACACTTATATTAATTATTTATGATTTGAGAATACTACTTTTTTTTTATTTCTTGTTAAGATGTATAAGGGTGGTATCCCGGCTCACACACATGTCTACATTATTATCATATTGTGTATTCTGAACTTAAGTTTTCATGATTTTATTTTGATTATCTCTCAAAAGACGTCTAATCAATAAAATATATATGTGTACTTTACTATTTTATAAACTCATAATTCTCTTTTTTAAACAATATAAGAATTTGATTACAATTTTTTAACAATCTTTCTCAAACAAAAAATCACGGTTAACCTTCAATAATGATCCTATTTTTCAAAAGATAGATCACAAGTATTCAAAAAAGTTTTTTATTATATAACCATCGTGATTTAATTATCGTTGCTTATTTTATTTATTAATGTCTTTTAATTATCATGATACGACGAGTCTTGGGCATTAGGTTTTTTTTGTAACATATATATGAGTTAAAATAAATATATGAAAAGAAGAAGAAAAAAACATATCAAAAAAGTTAAAAGATTGAAAAAAAATCTTTAAAATGTTGACATTGAAGAAAAATTATTAAATACACCTTTGATTATTCTAAAACTTATAAAATTACAATTAAAAATTATTAAATAAAGAGTAAGAACACAATTTTATAGTGTTCCACAAAATTTAGCCAATGTTAGAAAAAATATTAACTATTCTCATTTTGTATTATGATAAAATAATCTATGCACCGATAATATATATATATAAAAAAAATGATATCATCATCCGGTAAAAAAGTATACTTGTGACGATAAACCATGTAAAATAGTTTAACGATTCCAATACATAATTATTAAACTCATTATTATTTATTACATATATTGTTATATACGTAGATAATGAAGGAAACAAGATCCAGCAAAGAATAGCAAGTGGACAACGCATGGTGCATGTGATGTGTATAGGAGGGAGCATACTAATGTGGCAATTAATGTGATATCAAAGTTGTTGACATGCTGCCATTTTAGATGAAAAGCAATAATAGCACTATCATCAGGATATTCCAACCCAACAACCAAAATCTCCTTTTCTCAATCGCTTATAGCTGTGCCCATTCTACAAAATTTCATCTTAAAATTATTATGTTGAAACAATAGTATAACAATGTATAAAATGCCTATTTTTCTTATTTATATAATTAATATTTATACAAAAAAAAATTAATACTTGGAATATAAATTGTATTACAATTAAAAATTATAATAAATAAGTATTTTAAAATATACAAATATATTTTAAATTTATAATTGGTAATTTGAATTGTGATATAATATTTTAGTCATTTGCAATTTCTTTCAAAATGTATTGAAATTTAATTTAAAAATAAAGATAAAAAAGAAGTAGTTTGAGATGTTTGAAAGAATATTTTAATTAGTTGTTAAAGTAATAGATGTATGGCAGAAGTAAGAAAAGAAGAGATGAAATATGAAATTGGTTGAGGTCTGAGGTAGTCTATATATAGTAAATAGTAAAAGATGAATCTGATGGCAGCAGAACAGAAGGAGTAAAAACCGCTTCCGCTGTGTCTGTTAATTAACTCCCACTTTTACCTTTTCCTTTTTGCATTGCATTCATCTTTTTTCTTTCTTTAGTTTCGCTCATCAACAGATCCACCATCACTATGCTCTTCGCTTTAAGCTTTAAAGGTAAACTTATTATCTATTTATCTTCATATCGCCTTTTTGCTCATCAACACATTCATTTTGTTTACCCTTTTCTGGAGAATCATATTCAATATCCATTCTCCTCCATTTTTTTTTATTTCTTTTGTCCTTCCATTTTAGAATAGGGAATAATAATAATTCTTAAAAGACTGTCCCTGCTCTTCAATTATAAATTATTTTACATTTACTTTTTAAAATAATTTTTAAAACTAAATAATCTTACTATATGTACAAGAACCAATGATTAAATGCTTAGTTGGTAACACATGCTGTGTAAACGAGTGGTGGAAAAGGACTGAATTTGATTCTCTTATAAACATCCTTACAAAGGGACATGAAGCTTTAAGTGTCATTCACTTTTGCCTGAAAATTAGTTTTAGCTTAAAATATTTTTTTTTTTAAGTTTATAATTCTATTTATTTTACCCTTTTGTTTTTATGCTTATTTTTTTTATAAAAAAATTTAGTTCCTATAATTTAAGTAAATCTTTTTTAATTTTTATACTTATAGTTTTATAATTATTTTAATCTTTGTCATTAACTTTTGTTTTACCTTTTTTTTAATTTAAAAATCATTTTGTCCACATGTTACTCTCTCATTCTCCATTAAAAAAAATGTCTTTTTACATTAAACAATTAGTTGATTAACTAACTTTATCAAATACTTTCTATTTCAATCAATTAATTTATAAGTTTTAAAATTTCCAACTCTTAACTTATAACTTATTCAGCTTTCAACTGGCATATAATTATTTTTAACCAATTTATAAGTTAATTATTTTTACCAAATACACTCAGAATATAAGAAAAAGTTATATTATTAGTATATCTTAATGAAATCTTAATTTATAAATGTTATAATATTCCTTAACTTATAACATCATCTTTAACATACTGTTTTTTTTTATTACTATAAGATTGATAGAAATATGTTATCGAAATGCTTCCTCCACAGAAAATGCAATAGCTCGATTAAAACGTGTTTGCTGTAGACTGTAGTCCACAGTCCCAATATGGTAGCTGCTCAATCAATGTAATTACTTTACTCACTTTAAAAATGGGCCACCCACTATTGATGCATGCCTCACAGGCACGAGGGGGTGTATTGGGAAAAACCTAAGTCTCGGCAATCCTAGATCATTAAAAAGGGTCACCCACCATTTATTCACGTACCAAGCTCAATAGTGCTGGACGTGAGGGGGTGTATTGGAAAAAATCCAAGTCCCACTTCGACTAGAGATTAGGCAATTGAATAGTATATAAGTGGAAAGCAACCCTTACCTTACAAGCCGGTTTTGTAGGGTTGAGTTAGGCTTAATCCACTATTCTAACACTTTGTTCAGACTTTGATGCAGACGTTTGGTACGTGCATTGTTCGTGGCTTCATATTCATTCTTGAGAGAGCTTTACTTTGCTTGTATTATTATGGATGCTTCGCCATATTTGTACCGACAACAGACATGCTAAGCTAGGAAGAAAGCAACCGTGTTACATCATTGAGTAACGGAATATTGATTGGGTATGTAGAGTTATATGCTGATGGAAGCTGGATTAACGACATCGTGTATCTGATTAAACTATTTCATTGTGAACTGTGCTGCTTATATATATATGTGTGTAATACATTGTTACTGATGAAAGAAAGTTGCACTTGCACCCTTAAATGTTTACCTTATCTTTGTAAGTTGTTTTGATGTACCTTTGATGAATACAACCTTATAATTGCAGAGAGAGATGGTTTCCTTTGGGAAAAAGTTGAAAGAAAGACAAATTCAAGAATGGCAAGGGTATGTTTTTTGCTTGTGGTTTGGTTTCATTTTTGTGCATGCTCATGATTTTGACTTTTTGATTTAGATATTACATAAACTACAAACTAATGAAGAAACGAGTAAAGCAGTATGCTCAACAAATTGAACATGGAACACTAGATCGCCGGCATGTACTAAAGGATTTCTCAAGAATGCTGGATAATCAGGTCTGTTCTCATTGTTGACTGTATAATTATATTTATGATTCGAGTCAGTCACCAACTATTATGAAATTTGAGTCTTTTCATTACTTCTAACTACTCAATTTAGATTTTGGTTCTGGTTATATGGGTAAATATGCATGTGGCATTCATTAGTTGCATTTTATATTTGTTTCATTCACTTCCTTATTACAATTCAGATAGAGAAGATTGTCCTTTTCCTGTTAGAACAACAAGGGGTTTTGGCAAGTAGGATAGCACAGCTCGCGGAGAAGCATGAAGTTATTCAGCAGGAGCCTCACATAAGCAAAATATCTGAACTACGAGAAGCTTATAGAGCCGTGGGACAACAGTTATTAAAGCTTCTCTTCTTTGTAGAGGTCAATGCTGTTGGTTTGCGCAAGATATTGAAGAAGTTTGACAAACGCTTTGGCTATAAATTTACAGATTACTATGTTAAAACTCGTGCAAATCATCCTTACTCCCAGCTGCAACAAGTGTTCAAACATGTGGTAATATGTCTAGTTCAAACACAAATTTGCATTTAAACCTTTGCAGAATAAAATACATAATAAACAAACTACCCTAACTTAATTTTTATTTTCTTCCTACAAATGAGCATTGGCTAACAGATATGGAACTTGCAGGGATTTGGAGCTGTTGTGGGAGCTTTATCTCGCAACCTTCATGAACTTCAGGAGGATCAGGAGAGTCAAGGAAGCTTCTATTCAATTTATGATCAGCCTACTCTTCCCCTTCAGGTTTCTTTGACATTGATCTGTTTCATCCACTGAGGTTAATTGTCATGTTCTCACTTCTCAGGCAAGCTTTAGTAGCTAGCTGGCTAAGAAGCAGCATAAGTTTGGTGAATTTCCATCTTAGTTACTTGGTCTTATTTATGTGCAGGATCCTGTTATTGATTCAATAAGAGCAGCTGTTGATAGGTTAACTAACTCAACCAACTTCCTTAACTTTTTGGGGAAGCATGCACTCATTATGCAAGAGGAGCTGCCTGTACCTGCTGATGAGCATGTTGATCAAAGATACCATTTTATGTCTCTTTCCCTGAACTTGGCAAACACATTTTTGTATATGGTAAATACATATATTATAGTCCCTACAGCAGATGACTACTCTATCAGCCTTGGGGCTGCACCAACGGTTTGTGGTATTGTGATCGGGGCAATGGCAGTTGCGCAGGTGTTTTCTTCAGTGTATTTTAGTGCGTGGTCAAATATATCTTACTTCAGACCTCTTGTATTCAGTAGCATAGTTCTTTTCCTCGGCAATGCAATGTATGCCATGGCATACGATATTAATTCTATATGGATTCTCTTAATTGGTCGTCTTTTATGTGGGTAAGTAGTCTGCTATTTTTTTTTTGCTTTCATTACTTGATGACCATAAGTTTTGAAATTGCATCATCATTTTACTTTCGCTAAGTATTATTAAATTCTCTGTTTTGCATCTAGTGTTATAACCAACAACAATTGTCCATAATCCAGAATAAGGCTCAAGGGATAGATTCATTTTGATTCTTTGAGGTTAAATAGGTAACTTTGTATACCGTGATTCTCATGCTACTTTCAAATTTTGTTCTTGGGTTGACTTATATAATTATTGCATACCATCACGAATTACCGGGGATTTTATCTTTTCTTAATATTAGAATTGAGAAATGCTAGCAATTTTTTTTAGTAGCTGAAAGTTATTAAAAATTACATATTTTGACTGATCTCACCTCTCTTGGTTTGATGGTGGGACCTACTAAAATTTATAATTTCTAATAAATTTTAGTCAATGAGGAAGTGTCAAGATTAGTACCAGTGATGTTAAAACCTTGTTCTACTTTCAAACATCTGATTATAATTGCAGATTTGGTTCTGCCAGAGCTGTTAACCGGCGTTATATTAGTGATTGTGTGCCTTTAAAAATCCGCATGCAAGCATCAGCAGGTTTTGTTAGTGCCAGTGCTCTTGGAATGGCCTGTGGTCCTGCATTAGCCGGCTTACTACAGACCCATTTTAAGATTTATAACATTACATTTAATCAAGATACCTTACCAGGGTGGGTTATGGCTATTGCTTGGCTGATATATCTAGTGTGGTTGTGGATCACTTTCAAGGAACCTTCTCATGATATTGAAGAGAATAATACACCACACCCATCCCATGCTGGTACGAAACTAATACTGCATCACCTCTTTGCTAATGATATCTATTTTTTCCGTCGTGTCCCTGTAAGATTGTTTATCTCCTCTAATTTCACTGATGAGACCTAATATTTCTGACATTCACCGGATTTTTTGCCCTTGAAATTATAGCGTTCAGTATTCTAAATATATTCATTAATGACATTGGTCCATCGTCTATACATTTGACCATTGTCAAAATAAATCTAAAAAAATAAGTATCAGATTCTTCCTCATCAAATGAAATAGAGATTGATGATGCATATAATGAGTTATTTAGCCAGAATTTCAGTTTCAAATCTGCTTTGCTTTCTGTTTCATACTTTAACAATCATGTTTTTTGTCAGTATATAGCCTCTATGGCTCAGGAGCTTTGAAAAGTTTGTTGTTCAACTGCACTCCTACTTAATATGATACCCTGCTAAGTATTTTGTGGACCTTCAAACCACTACAAAATGAGCAGGCCAAATAAGGATGCAAGAAAAATAGACAAAAAAAAAAAAAAAAAAAAAAA